AGTTTTTATGTGCCAAAAGAAAATATGGGCTATGCTAGAAAAAGAGAAAAAAATCCATGCCAAAAGAGCATGAGAGAAAAAAAATCCATGCCAAAGAGCATGAATAATCCCATGCTAAAAGCATGAAGAAAAAAAAAAAAAAGAAAAAAATAAAGAGAGAAAGATAGCCCATACTTTCAAATAAAAGGCAACCATCAAAAGAGAGAGAGCCATGTACAAAGGAGTTTAGAATTTTAGGAAAAAAATTAAAATTACCACACACTTGCACAATCTTGATCAAAGTGTATGACTTGCATCTCCTTGGATCTAATTTTTGACTTAGCAATATTATGTGATGCAAGTATGCCTCTTTTTCTTACCTACCCAAAACTTCGCAAAAAGCCTTTAGAGGTAGGATGAAAAGAAGGCAAATATCAAAAGCCTTTGGTGAGGACTATACACATTGAGCGATCGAGTGAATCATTTTGAGGAGCAAAGGTAAATTTTATGTTTTCAAAATCAAACAAAACCCAAGTTTCTAAGCAAAGTGAAGTGGGAGGATTTGAATTCTTACTGTTCCATTATCCAATCAATCATGATTCTATGGTAGACACTCAGAATGTTCACAAGTGCAGGTGAGGCTTAGAATAACTTATATGCAGATATCATATCAAGGAGATAACCCATCTTAGTCCTTAAACTTTACTCGAGGACAAGCAAAGGACTAAGTGTGGGGGAGCTTGTTGGCGGTCCTTAACTCACAATTTTAAGCGCCAACATTCGTATAAAATTTACTCAAATGAAAACCAAACCTAGTAATAGGGCTTTAAACTAATGATTTCCATAGGTTTTGGTAAGTTGTGCATTTGCAGGGCACATGCATGGAATACATATGAAAAATAGTCAAAGTGCGCAACCAAAAAAGCGTAAACGCAGACTCTACACAAAGGAATAAGAAGGAGACCCACTTACTTGAAGAACCTGGGCCCAAAACCTACGTGGCTGCGCTCCTAGCCCAACAACAAACCATCATGTGGAAGGCGGTGGCGGGGAGGCCACACCTGGGTGTGGCCGCACCACTAGCTATGCCAACCACCTCCAACCACCACGTGTCATCTCCTGGTGATCCCTCCATGACGGTTGCATGGGTAATTGCAAGGAAATCCTCCCCAAACCGACCATCTCATGACTATATATAGATGGGGGAGGCCTCCTCATTATTCAACACACAACACAAGAGACAACACCATGTGATAAGAAGTGAAGAGCTACACTCCTATTTTTAGTTTTAGCTAAGTTTAGTGTAGGGAGTGAGTGAGGAAGAGAAAGAGATGGAGAAGTACCGGAATTGTCGGATACCTCCACGTGTGTACCGGGACCCCCTTGTACACTTAGCGGAAGGAATGCCGGGAATCATCGGCTCCTCTCCACTTGTACCTCTACGATCCGAATACTATTTGGAGTATAAGGGGCGTGTTTGTCTTCGGTGGTGAGTTCAACTTTAAGTTAGTTTTGTTCATTATTTACTTCGTCATCCGTCCCCGAGGCGGATGCTCTAGTAGAGGGCCCTGATAAAGACGGATAACCCTGATCATGTTAGAGTAGTAGTCGATAGCGTAGACGTGGTGTCTAAGCTAGAGGTTACCTTCGTTTGCCTCGTACCCTATGGTTGAGGGGTAGGCGGCAGGTGGTGATAGCTTTGTCTATCCCTCGTAATCCCCCACATCCGGGTACGGCGTAGAGCCATAGGCCGGGATCGCCTGACAGACTAGGTGTGCTTTGGTGCCCGAAGTAAGTATATAATGGCAAAGCTATTTTAACTTAGGATCTCTATCTCTAGAAAACCTCACTACCCGAGCTATCTTTCTTCTTGTTATCATTAGGTGAGCTAGCTAAGAAACTTTTACACATCCGTTCCTCGTGGAAATATGATACCCTGAATACTTCTAGGTGAAATGCTACAACGGCATCACTAGTAAAAGAATGACCAAGCTTTGGAAAAATAAGACCCCAATGAAGATTAGGATTTTGATGTGGCTATCTGTACAAGATAGGTTACATACTGGGGTAAATTTTGAAGAAAAAGAAATGGAAGGGAAATAGAAACTGTTGTCTCTATGGAATCCCTCAAACAAGAGAACACATTTTCTTTAATTGTGAGTTGGCTAAAACTATGTGGGCATGCTTTAAAAGAGGCTAGGGTGGGACAAAATTCCTGAAAGCTTTCAAGGGGTCTTTGATTGGTGGCTTCTTTAAAGGATCTGCATTATCACATTAAGTTCTTCGTGCTATCAGTAGTTATATGGGGGTTGTGTACAATCCTCAATAAAATGTGTATTGAAAACAAATTTCTATGGTCGTCTAATGAAGTTTGTTTTCAAAATATTCTCCTTGTTACAGAAGTGGCGCATACTGTTGAAGGTGGAGGATGAATAAGTTACATGGACAGCAAAGATCAAGCTCGGTAAGATGTGGTTCCTGGAATTTTGGAAGCAACTTGAAGGCATGGAGATTGAAGGAGTGATTTAAGCCTCTTTTGCTTTTTCCTGTTTCTCAAACTTGAGGCTGGTAGTCTGCTTTGTTCTAGGAGGTGTTGGAGTTTCCTCTCGGTTGCTGGCGGTGCTAGTAACCTTTACAGTTTATCTTTTGCTCTTGTTTTGTAAAAGCTGGTAAGTTTGTTTGTATGTTCTTGGTTTCTATAAAAGCAGAGTTTTCCTCCGTCAAAAAAATTCAGAAAAAGAACTCATGAGAGGTTTGTCGATTTATTTTTGACGAAATTGATGTACCATAAAGAGTTGCTCACCTTGGAAGCAGCTTGAAGCGACGGTGCGATGGCGCGGCCTACCGTCAGCTAGGGAGAAAACCAGTGGGCGTGGCGAGGCATGATGAAGCGACGATGGCGAGTAGTATCGGTCCTTCTTAGTCAAGACTTTACTTCACGCTTTGTGTTTCCAAAGTCTGGCTGTAAGCTTGTGAACTGTGTAAGTTGTGTGCTCACCGTTGGGTCGAACCTTGTAATAATTGACCTGATTCTACCTCATGGTAGATGAAGCCGGATATAAACTATTCTTTATTAAAAAAAAAAGTATGGCTCACTGCCTGATCCCAGGACGAATGGGGAGGACGTGACGCGGGCACGCGGCAACAAGCGATCAGGAGGGGAGAAGAAAGGGTAACCCCGGCTGGCCGTGGCTCCAAGGGGCGTGCTGCCCATCCCGTCCAGAAGGCACCACCTCCTCCGGAGCCGATAATCGGATGGGTGACGGCAGCAGGCAGCCCGAGCCAGAAATGTTCCGTGTAATTTTTCGGCCTTGAGAGAGAGGGGACAGGGTTTAACTAACCCATGCTCGGAGTCAGAGGAGAGAAGTCTCTTGAATGAATAACGAACAATGAACCCCGTAGTTCAGCAACATTCAATCTTCTTGCATGATCGGAGGAGGATTTTAGTTCTCCAATCCAATTAAAAAAAACAATTCCACAAAAATTGGCCCCTAATCCGGTAAATCACACATCCCAAAGGGAGAAATAGGGAATGCATGGTGTTAGTGCCGGCGGCATAAAGAGCTAGGCTTGATCTCTCTTCGGCCTTGTTTGGATGCATTCCATTCCATTCCATTCCACTCCAACACACGTCGATTGAGGTGGATACACGTGCATCCAAAGCCTTAAGATAGGAGTCGCATGGTTTCGGATTACAACCGTGGGCTTGTTGTGGCAGTTTGAGGAACCTGAACATGCATCCCCTTTTTATATAAGAGCATCTCCAAGAGTTCTCTAAATCTCCTCCTAATCCTTGATTTTTAGAAAGATTTAAAAAAAACCATCTCCAACAACTTCTAATACTTCCTCCTCAAATTTAGGCACTTCGGAAATCTTCCCCGTTCCGCGTAACTTTACGCGGACACGACCTGGCGCGGATACGGCTTGCCGCGGGGCATCCTTCTTCTAGCGCAGCAATGAGGGCAACGACAGCGATGACCTCCGCTGCTCCTGCGCCACAAGCCGCCTGGGACCCCACCTGCGTCCTTCGCCCGCTCTGCCGCTCTAGCGCCCTCCGCTGGCTCCGACTCCACCTGTGACCTCCGGCCGCCCCGCGGCGTGGCCGCAACGCCCCACAGCCGCGTCGCCGCGACTTGGTCTGGCAACAGCGCGGAGCTGCCCCCGGCCATCTCGCTTGCGGGGCTCCGCGGCGTAGCCCCGCAGCACCATCGCCGCGGCATGCCCCTGCAGCACCATCGCCGCGGCCTGCCCCGCAGCAGCGCCGTCCGGTGGCCTCTGCATTGACCGAGCACCACGACGCAGGAAGATAGGCGCACAGCTTCTTCTTCCATCGCGTCGGTCGCAGCCACCACTGCGCTGGTGACCTCTGGGCGGGTCGTGGGGTCCCCAGGGGCCGGCATGGTGCGGCACGGTAGGGGTGGGAACTCGCTGGGGTCCGGTGGGGGCGGCGCAACGGGAGCATGCGGGCGCCGAGCAGAGCGATGCGGAGCTTGGTTGCAGTCCCTGCCTTTTATGGCCGAACCTCCTGCAACTGATGCAGCGGACCGGCTCTCTACAATCTGCTGCCCCGTGGCCAACAGCAAGGCATCGGATGCATTTATCTCTCAGGGCTTCCATGAATGCAGATTTGTCGGAGCTGCACGCTTCTTCTGTAGTACCTTCGTCCATCCGTCTTCATCCTCCTCGGGTCGCGTCGCAACGGGTCGACCATCTCGTTTGCGGGGCTCCGCAGCGCAGCCCCGCAGCACCATCGCCGTGGCATGCCCCCGCAGCAGCGCCCGGAAGTGAGAGCAGGAAGATGCATGGAAAAGAGAAAAAGCCGCAACATAATTCATGTGGCCCCAAATTTAATTTTTTAATGATATTTATTAGAAACTCTTGAAGATAAGCTTTATTTTTTCTCCCCAAATTTCTTTAGTCAAACTATAAGTTTTTAGGAGAAAAAAGTAGGAAACCTTTGGAGATGCTCTGACCTTCCAAAACCCAAAACCTCCTCCACTTCTCTCTCTCACGAAACCGATATGGAGTTTCGGTACCGCGCCGTCGACGAGCGTCGAAGCCGGTCGCCGCCGCCGCCAACGGCGCCGAGTACTCCTGGCTCCGGATCGGCAGGTGAGATCCCCTAGACTCCTATCCCTATCCCTCCGATTCATATTCGATCGATCGATCGATCTCCTGTTTCACCTGGCTACTGCTTTTGCATGTATATGCCGTGCGATCCCACCAGACGGCCACGGCAGCAACGGTCCGGCCGAGCGCGTGGGTAATTCTGCCGTGACGCTATGGCGGCCTGATCTGCTCCCACCGGAGACGGCGGCGGTCGACACTGACGAGCTGCGGCGGCAAGCGGAGAAGGCGAGGATCAGGGAGCGGATCCTGAGGGAGGAAGCGGAGCACTGGGAGCTCGAGCTGGAGGTGCGCGGTGAGTTAAGGGAGCAGATGCTGCAACTGTCGTGGCCTGCGCTTGGGCAGAAGGCGAGAGGATCCGGCACGCCAACGGCGGTGTCACCGGGAACGATTACTGCCGCCAACTCATCGCTGCTGCCGGCTGTTGCGCTTGAGGTATGCTGTCTTTTTGGCATTTTGTGTTTGATCAAGCTTTTCGTTTGTCCCTAGGTATCGCCTCACGTTTTCTACGGACGTTAGATTAAATCGTGGCAGCAGTGACTGATTTTAAAATAGATTTTTTTACTGATTTTAAGATAGATTGTCACTCCGGGTTTGTCACAACTCGATGCATTACTCAACCTTTTGTTGATTAAAATTTTCTTTATTTTAATTTTAGGCCATCTACATATGCGAACCGAACGAGCATTTGTGAAAATACATGTTATAGTAAAAAACACGTCAAATGGAAACAAATCAAGATACACATACATGTCACCACCATAGTACAGATAACATGCTTTTTATGCTGCATAGGTCTAATTTCTGATATAGTGAGTGTCGTTTTTTCTCTTACAAGGAGTACATTAGGTCCCCACTTAGAGCACACTAGTCGTATTTTACTTTCATATACTTTTTCTCATGCTTAGTCATCTACTCATTCACTACGTTCATCGTTGACAAAACTTTGCAGATGTCGCCTATAATTTCCCTTTTATTTATTTTTTGAAAAAACATTATTTTGTTTAAATTTAAAATTTAGATTAATTTCCTTTTATTTTCGTGTGATCTTTAGCTAGCATGAAAATCCAAACTAAATACACTTTGAAACTTCATATTTGTCTTGGTCTCAAATATCAAACTTGATTGGGACACACGCAAAACTTGCTTATTATACTTGAATGCTGACTTAAACTTGATTCCCAATTGAAGCACGTATCTGATAATATCTTGCATCATTATGATTTGACATTTTGTTTACTTTTTTTTTACTCATCTCGAAGAAATTGATTATAGTAACTCATGTGTGCAGGCCCACCCAAATGCAAGCGCACTAGCAACCGCGATGACCAAGCGGAAGAGCTCTGATCATGCCGCCGAAGCATCCAGAGTATCGTTGGCTCCAAGCAGCAAGAAGCAGAAGAGCACCTTAACCTGCACAGCGTGTGGCATCAGCGCAAACAGCGAGAAGGCCATGCAAGACCACCTCAATGGGAAGGTGCACAGGAAGAAGGTGGTAGCACTTCCGGAGTTGTCAAAGCTAGTGCCAGATGAGACAGAGCAGGAGATAGGGCTCGAGGCAGGTGAGGAACCGGGAATGGCGATGGAGACATTAGGAGATTACAAACCCGCCAAGTTCATGATGGCGACGACCGCAGGAGCGCTGAACGAAGTGACACAGATGGATGGGTACCTCCTCTGTGAGTTGTGCAATGTGCGGACGGCAGACCGTATTACAATGATGTGCCACTTGCAAGGGAACAAACACATCTCTAATGATCAGAAGAAGCATCGACCCTCCAGCAAGCTATCGGGTGCGGCTATTGCCACTGCTGATCCTAATAAAAATCTGGTTCTAGAGGATTACAGTGTGTCGCTGCCACACACTGTGCGGCGCTTGGAAGGCTTTCTGTGTGACGTGAAGGCCTCGTCGATGAATGGCATGCGTCAACACTTACCAGGGAAGAAGCACAAGAATAAGGCAAACACCAGCTCATCTGATGCGTCTGTCAACCTTTCCTTAGGAGGAAAGGAAGTAGCCAAAGCACAACTGATAGACACGGATCACACGGCTGTCATCTCTGACGACATGGCAGCAAAGGTGGAAGCACCACTAGCGAAGAAGTCATTGCAACCAAAGCTTGGTGATGATGATGAGCTGCAAGAAATGACTGTGGCACCACCAAAGGAAGACATTGCCATTGGGGATAGTACAAAGACTCCTGGAACAGAAATGATGAAAAGCAATGCAACTTCTGCTGGGGTTCAACTCAATAATGTCTGTGATTCTGACTCACCGACCATGGAAGTAGACAGTGTGATGCACCCTCTACGGCGGGTGGATGGCTTCCTTTTCTGCCTGAGCTGCAACGCAAAGGCATCATCTGAGATCATCATGCAGTCTCACCTGGCTGGGAAAAAGCACAAGCGCAAGATGGCACTCGCTGCTGCACGAGGAAACAATGACTTGTCTGTCCTTGTCACCGGGGCTGATGAGGCACAAGACAATGGCTCAAAGTCCATCAAAAGCAATGTGGAGGCAGAATCGGCGGTGCCACAAGCAAAAACCGCTGCCAATGAAGATGCAGAATCAGCCCCGCCATTGGCAGTACCACAAGCAATGGCATCCATGACAGTAGATCGACCAGTAGAAGCTCAACCTGCTACTTGCATTACTGAACCAGCAGAGGAAGGCGAGATTATTGAGGAAGCTGAAGAAGAGCATGCAGCTGCCGACTCCAATGGCTCTGTGACCCAAGCCAAGGAATCCGTAATAACAAATTACACCACTGCCCCTGCCAAGCCAATCAAGATCCAGGTGGAGGGTAAGGTGTTCACAGTGATGCAGCAGGAGAATGGCAGGCTCTCGTGCGACCTGTGCGGCGTCCATGGCTGCGACAAGGACAGCATGATTCTGCACCTCTACACCCGTACACACTGGGGCAAAGCCAATCTTGCAGAGAAAAAAGAGCAGCAAGTGTGAATGGCTGCAGTCGCAATGGTGGATGAGGTTGGCAGCATGGCAGGGGCGGCTCAGGTATGATAACGATGTCGGCGTGATTATATCTGATAGTAAAGGACTTGAACATATCATATTGACTATATGGTTACATTGATCAAATAATACTCCAGCACCAGCAACTTGAAAAACCAGCAGAGTTTGCCTATTGCTCAGTACATTGTCATAAGTTTGCCTCTTTGCTTTTCAGTTGTTCCTGTATTTCTTGTTTGATGTTGCAGAGCAAGCGCTCCTTCCTAGACTAGTCATGAATACTTGATGTTTTAAACAACAGTACATTCTCGGAATCATAACATTAATTTGGTCACTAGTTTCTTGTAAAGTATATCAGCTGGGTACCCGCCGCCAGCCCGCCAGGATATCCCACCTCTTTGGAGGGACAAGAAGGGCGAAGGTGTGTGGCACAGAGAGGAGAGAGAGGCAACTGACAAATTGTTAGTGCTATTATTATATTTTTACAAAGAAAAACGACTGTTATTAGCTTTTTCATTCATATGAACCCATAGTGAAATTTTTTATTGCTTAAGTAACAGCAATGGCCCATCAACAAACTTCAGTTCTGTAGAAGAATTTTGTGCTGAGTCAGATTAAAAGAGCTTGCATTAAAAATGTTTTTTTTAGAAAGGACGGCAAAAGCTTTGCCGTGATTTCTATTAGACGAAGGAAGAAAAAAGATAAGTGCTCGTCCAGTTTTTTTGAATGAAAACTAAGCCCAAAAACCATATAACTGAGGAGAATGCTTCACTCATCAACTTTGGTACAACCGGATAACTATCAAAACTCACGCCACTATAAGCTCCGATTTGGTCGAATCAACCCAACTAACAACTGACAAGTACCAGAGAAACACGAGTACACGACGACCCGCGGAGCGACACCAAAGCTTGGGGCGCCACCATGGCTAGACGCCAAGGAGTAACCACAGAACTGGGAAGCCTAACATGAGCGGCATGGTTCAAAGATAAGAGGAAAAATACACCTGAATTAGAAAGTTTCAATTACATAGCATGTGAAGTTTAGTTCTGAACCTGAAAGATTTTATTGAATTAACAATCTTTTAAGCGTTCAGGATGCTTTTTTTTTTCAAAATTCAGGGTACTATCAAGCAGTATGGCAACTATTTCCAATTCTGTCCACACAGTGTGAAATCGGATTTAGAATTACCATAGCAGAACCAGAGTACGTCGTCCAAAGAACTCCGTAGCAAACTATGCTGCCAATACAATAATATTGCGTCGAAATCACATTTGCTCCAGCCCCAAGCCCCCAACAAGTTTGGTATTTTTCCAATTTTTATTTGATATATGTTGAATGCCAGCGAACAAAGGTGGGGCTTATATTAATTCTTTGTGGGACGCAAAGCATAAACAAAGGCCATCCACAGCAGCGCAGCAAATTCACGTCTGGAAGTATTTTATACCGTCGGAAAACATAAAGCCTCACGGCCACGGACCTGTCCCTTTCCACACGATTTAACGTAGAAGCACCGTATCTTCCTACGTACTTCCAAGAATACAGAGAGATCGGCAGCTATATATACCCATGCTACGCCCAGTTCCAGTCACCAAATCAAAAGCCGTAGCAGCAAGCAATTGACAGGCCTGATCGACCATGGCTACCCCCAAGGCATTGATCTTTGCAATCCTCATCGGCTCCTTCTTGTGCAGTGCAGCACTCGCTGCTCGCGACCTGAACGACGACGACTCAGCAATGATGGAGAGGCATGAGCAGTGGATGGCACGGTACAGCCGCGTTTACAAAGATGCCACCGAGAAGGCTCAGAGGTTTGAGGTGTTCAAGGCAAATGTCAAGTTCATCGAGTCGGTCAACGCTGCCGGGAACCGCAAGTTCTAGCTCGGCATCAACCAATTCGCGGACCTCACCAATGACGAGTTCAGGGCTACCAAGACTAATAAGGGCTTCAAACCTAGCCCGGTGAAGGACCCTACTGGATTTAGATATGAGAATGTTAGCGTCGATGCGCTTCCGGCAACCGTCGATTGGAGGACCAAGGGTGCCGTCACTCCCATTAAGGATCAAGGGCAATGTGGTAAGTATATATTGTAGCTAACAATACTTTTGAGCAACTATATATTATGTGTAACGATGACATATGTTCAAACCTAATCAATTGTAGGCTGCTGCTGGGCGTTCTCAGCTGTGGCTGCCACAGAGGGCATTGTGAAAATCAGCACCGGCAAGCTCACCTCACTCTTGAAACAAGAGTTGGTAGATTGTGATGTCCATGGTGAGGACCAGGGCTGTGAGGGTGGTTTGATGGATGACGCCTTCAAGTTCATCATCAAGAATGGTGGACTAACCACATAGTCCAGCTATCCATACACAGCTGCCGATGGCAAGTGCAAGAGCGGATCAAATAGTGCTGCAACCATAAAAGGCTATGAGGATGTACCAGCAAATGATGAGGCAGCTCTGATGAAGGCAGTGGCGAACCAGCCCGTGTCGGTGGCCGTCGATGGTGGAGACATGACATTTCAGTTCTACTCTGGTGGTGTGATGACTGGCTCCTGCGGTACTGACTTGGACCATGGGATTGCCGCCATTGGTTATGGAAAGACCAGTGATGGCACCAAGTATTGGTTGATGAAGAACTCATGGGGCACCACATGGGGAGAGAATGGTTATCTGAGGATGGAGAAAGATATTTCAGACAAGAGAGGCATGTGTGGCCTGGCCATGGAGCCTTCCTACCCCACTGAGTAGGCAGACCTTCAGATGCCTCAAGTTCATACATAAGGATGAAATAAATAGATGCTTTTACACCTTGTTATGTATAGTTGGTTCGTATGTGTTTCAAATTTATCTTCTATGTATATTCTACACTTATGTATCTAATGACAATCATTTAAATGTGCTAAATGTGTAATGATCATCATGAATACATGCTTGTTATTGGGACGAATCAAAAAGGAGAACACAAAGGATCAAATAAGCCATGGGGTTTAATTCACTACCACAAAATGGAATACCCTTGAGGGTCACCAATTTCCTTGAGGAGCAAGATTAAACTCTCAAGGAATATATATATATTACCTTGACGGTTGCTAAAAATCTCCAAAGAAATGCATATTTCTGGAGTGTTATTTCAAAGGGAAGACAGCCTCCCTGAATTCCGACTAGATGTCGCGCGGTGAGCCGGCGAAATGATGCGCACTGCCGCCGAGGAAGTGGAGGAGAGGTGCATCCGCATGGCGCTCACAGTCGCCAGGGAAGACACAGGACCTCTCTGCGTGCTTCCGGTCCCCCGTACCTCCATCGCAAAGCCACATGTCAGGCCGGATTGCAGAGTCACATGTCAGAACAAAGGTCAGAGCATTTCACCGCATCTGTGTTCTGAATATAGTTGGACCTTTGCCATTTTCTGTTGGTGCACCTTTGCTGGTACAATAATTGGGTCACGAACCATAGTAAAATGGTTTGTTTGGTTATCTAAGGTCTGGCTGTTAGTCCCACCACAGTGGGATCTATACTTATTTGATTTGACTTCCCGCAAATAATCCTTAAAAAAAAAAAAACGAAAGCACAACTGAAAAATACTCGGGCTGTAGGGGTAGACATCCCGAGCTATTATAGCTTAGAGTAGATGACTTCTTCATGTCACGTCTGCACACAGGGGCCCACTACCCGGTGAGAGGGCTGGTCCATTTTACCTATGTTTTGAGAACACGGGATAGGTGAGGGATTTTTTTTTCCATACCACCAATCAGAAATTTGGCTGACTAAGGATTCGAACTCTGGTCATGGGAGATGCCACCCAGAGGCTTGACCAACTGGTCTAGCAACTAAGAAAAAGGCACCAAAATCAAATGCTATAGTTGTATGACCAAAACAAATGGGTGGACGAAATTATAGCCTCCTATCCTTGATCAACAAGTTCATAGGAAATTACATAATGCCACAATCACAAAAGCATAAAATCATCTTGCACAACGATACAAAAACTATATAATTCAGTTTGTTCACACAAGAATCGGGCAGACTCTATAAACTCTGGCAAAATGCTATTTTTCTCACTCACACTTGAAAACCGAACATGTCTTCTTATGGGAAAAATACAATCATATGTCCTTGCTCAGTGGGAAATTTCAAATTGACAATGAAACACCACGTGCCCAATTTGTTGTTTTATTTTAGTCCTGGGCATGGTGAGTGCTACAACAGTATGACCAAAACTAATGAATGATGAAACAGCATCCTATTGTCCTTTAATCTGACTGCACAAATAATCCTCTCCTAGAAATTAGACATCCTCGGAACGATGGATGACGCCAAGTGGCAGCACCAGCCACGAGTTCCCAGTCTCCACGCTGCTGGTGTATGACTACAACAATGTCGTGTTCGGCCCGCAACACAGCAAATCTGACACGGGTTTGAAGAATGGACTAAAGAAGTGAGAGCAACAGACCAAGGTTATGGGACTCATTCCCGAATGTCGATGCGGCCATGGAATGCCATCACCACAATGTCCTGCTGTCTGCTGACCTGCCTCCGCTCGCCTACATGGAGATGCGCCTCCACCGAGCCAGACCTGAATCAGTGAGACAAGTGCACGAGGGATCATGGCATATGGAGAGCTGCTGCACTAGGTGACCTGGTTCGTCGATGGCACCGCTATCGTTCCTGGGTGAGGCGCGCACGTGGAGCCGACATCATTTCTCTGCTTGGTGAGGCGTGCACGTGATGCGTGCAGGTGTGATGAATTATACAGAGAGAATTTTTACGAAGTGGCTAGCCAAACAAAGATATAGAGTGTAAAATTTAGAATATCTCTTGAAGATGCTCTTAGTTACAGCCATGAAATGAGATGCTCCAAAATGGATTAGTGAGTTCTTTTTTGAGAAACATTTTTTTCATGGATTAGGGAGTTGGCATTGCCTCTATGGATAGATCGGCAATGGGTCAGGCTCAATTTGGGCTTGTGCACCCATCGTCAACTACCTCGAGCTTTTTGTAATCACAAAAAAAAAACTACCTCGAGCTATTGTTATGCGTGATCGATCAATGTTGGCTCAAAGAGAAAAAAACTTAAGAAAATAGAATAATTTCGACACCATATTTAGTTTCTCAAATCTGTGGCCATGCAACTAGGTCCTTATTATTTGGCAATAAACCACTGAGGCATACATATAACTTATTTTGTGAAACAGACTGAATAGGTGGGCATTTGCAAGCAAATGGATCACAGGGCCCTTGTTCGAGACATGTTTGTCCCTAGCTAATAACGCTTATTTTTCTTTCTACAGGCACAACTCGATGATTGACAGATATCCCAGAACTGGCCTTATCTTGTAGTCTTTGAATCCTGACTCCATGAATATCTTGTTCCACTCTTGCTTATCACGCTCCTTACCCCCAGCTATCACCATCATCAACAAATCGGACGTGACTTGTGCTTCGAACATCTCTTTCGAAGGAGATCCAACGACTGCATCTATGATTATCACTTTTCCTCGGGCTGGTTTGCGAGAACGTATAGCCTTTTTGCATTGATCTAGGATCTTGACACAGTCATCATCATTCCAGTCATGCAACACATACTGTGGTAAGAGTAAGAATCAACCAATTAGGTACTTAGGTTAACATTAAAAAAATAGAGCCTGACCAGATTCCAATTGTGATGAGTCATTATAAATACATACCTTAAGCATAATAGCATCAGTTGGTGGGATTGAGCTAAACATATCACCTGCAATATAGTCAACCATGCCATCACCCTGCTGTATGTCAGCAATAACAATTGGGAGGTCCAACACTGAGCACTTGACATGTGAGAAAGCTTTTGCAATGGTCCTTGCTGTGCTACCATCCCCTCCTCCAAGATCGAGCAGTGAGCTTATGCCATCAAATACATCACCATGTTGGGCCACAACAAAGTCTAGCACAAGCCGACTATTAGATCCCAACCCAGCATTAAAGACTTTGTTGAATTGTGGGTCACGCCCCAGGGCACCCCATGGGCCTGTGCCATGAGCCATCTTGAATGGCATCTCCGCAGCCATAGGCCCCACCCCGTCCTCACCCTTGAACCACTCAGACAAGTATGTGGCTGATGAGACATGGTACTTTGTGGTTTGGGAGAGCACAAATGGCACAAGGCTCCCACACCCATTGATGTGGGTGTCATCCACGAGAAGGCGTGACAATGGGGTGAGTTGGTACATACCCTCACCTGAGGTGGGAGAATCAAAGGAAAGAATGTCGGATACAACAAGGAACCTCATGAGGCGTAGAAGATAGGGCCTCCTATGTTCAGGAACTGGGATGGCAGAGAGAATATTGGGTAGAGAGGTACTGCCACCAAAGTTGTGAATAACATTGGGGATGTTGAGTTGAACCGCACACTCAAGTGCCATGGACTTAAGGTAGCTAAAGGTGAGGTTCCAAAGCTCAACATGTGCTTGTTGAAGCTCCAATCTTGAGGAGGCCTCCATGAGCACAAATTTCTTTGTCCCTCTTACCTAGTATATGGATTGTTCCCTATGAAGTTGTGGTCAAGGGTCTCATTTATAGGCTTCGAGCCTCGGATACCCTCATACCATGGTGTATTCATTCCATAGGGTAAAGGGGCCATGCTCATGCAACACACCATCTATCAGGCTCATGCATGCAATGACCTAATGCCAAGTTGTGCCTTAATGCATAACAATTGTAGTAGTCGGAGGATGAGTTGGTGAGGATATGGAATAATATTTTCACAGCTAGTGTCCATTAGCATGGGTTGGTGAGACTAACTATGCCCATTGCAACATGAGTTGGCAAGGGATTAAAGAATTTATTAACCACTGTCCATTAAAGGATGAGTTGGCAAGGCATACATGAATTCACCTACTAAGATCCACTAGAGCATGAGTTGGTAAGGCATACAAGAATCCATTCACTGGTATCCAGTAAAACATGATTCTACATTGTGTGAGAGAATTTACCAACTATTGTCCATTGAAAAATGAATTGATGGAACATACAACAATTCACTAGCTAATGTCCATTAGAGTATGAGCTCGAAATGCATGCAAAATTCACCAACCAACGAAAACATGAGTTTGCAAGGCATGTAGGAATTCACCTACCGATGTTTGTTTAAAAATGAGTTGGTGAGACATGCAAGAGTTCACCAACTATTTTCCATTAGAACTCTAGTTGGCAAGGCATCCAAGAATTCACCGACTCGTATACAATGAAGCATGACTTGGGAAGGCATCCAAGAATACATCGATTGGTACCCATTAGAGCATGACTTGGTGTTGATGGTCATTAAACCCTAATTTTGACCATCAATATCTTAGAAATATGTGAATGATATAACATGCTCATGACATTTTATATTCAAATAAAGTTCAAATTTCAATACCAGAATTTCTATCCATCATCTGAGTGATGGATATTTCTGTTTTCATCCATCATTAGTTGGTTGCTGTTTGTGTATTGTGGGCTCAATTTCATTAGTTGTTGTGGCCCATTTGTATGTCACATTGAGAGAAAATTCAGTCAGTTTCAGTCAGTGGCTCCCTCCACTCGAGCTCACGTGTGGCGTTAGTGCCGTCCCGCGCCTCATGAAAGGCCTGACTGCCTGTTTATCTGATGGTGCGGCACATCACACCCCTACGACATCCTATAAAGGATTGACACATGTCTCTGTGATGCATGCAAACGAGCACTTGATGCAAGAGCCGCACGACTCTAGCTACTGTTGACGGAAGCGAACG